AAATATGCCCCATTTAATGCCATGGGAGTTACTTCTACCTTGTGTGTCTCTGTAGGGATGAGGTAGAAATTAAATTCACTGCTCATTTAAAGACAGATCTACATAATTTGCTCTCTCCAAAACAATACATGAACCGTGACACAGCCATGTTGTGAAATTTGCACGTCTCTTAAATTTTTGGTGCAGTTCTCCAACCAAAAACTGTGTACAAATATGCATATTTTATGGTAAATTGTGCATAAAAAAACATACATTAGTGAAAACAACAACGAAGAGCCATATAAGTCTTGGTCATTTTCATCATATCTCTAACATTAGGGAAGGTTGGTTTGGGAAAATGTGCATATTAGGCAAAATTGCATATAAACATGTACATAGTTTTTTGTAAGCTGCTTTGAGGGGGTTTTTTATTTTACAATCAAGCTGTGTATAAATTTTATGGACTACGTAAACAAAATAATACTAAGAGAAGGTTGTACCAAAATGCTGATGAATTTCCATTATGACAACCTGCAGACTGATGTGGAAATGTAGAGAACTGAATTTAAGATTGGGAAGCTGAGAAGCTGCAATTGGTACAGATTCACCCATCCCTATTGAAAACTCAGGTTGGCCGACGGTTGCCAGAGGATGGCTCACTATCTGCAGGAGTCTTCTGTTTGAAGGGCTGCCTGGCCCAAGTCCCTAAAATGGTAGAGCAGAAGCGGCCTTGCAGTTGCCCATTCTTGAAAGCAAGATGCATCCACATTAAAGATCTGATTCCTACATTATGAGTAGGGAGGGATGGATGGACCTCTCTGTTTCTCTCTTTGTCATCCTTAAATTCAGTTATCCACATTTCTGCAGCGATTTGCAATTAAAAAAAAAACACTCGTGAAAATTAATCAGCGTCTTAGTGTGAATTTCCCTAAAAAAATTATTTTTGTATGTAGTTGTAATGAATGTACCTAATTTGCAAGCAATTTCCCTTACTATAACACATTTTTGTACATTATTTTCAGCAATATAGTCATTGTTATGCATACAACACAGACACATTTTTGTAAACACTGGAGAACTGCATTGTAAAATTAAAAGAAGTGTTGAGTTTTGAAGGAGGGCAATGTTTCGGTTCTCGTTTGGGAAAGTTTTAATTGAGTAGCTTCGCTTTTAAATGCAAACCGAACTGAATTTCTCTCACATCCCTAATTGTAAGGAATGTAAGGAACAGACTTCCGGACAAGGAAGTAACTCTGGGAACTCATTGGGGAATTAGCCAGCCTCTAGAGAATCTTGCTTAAAGTGCTACTTTACGGAACATTTTGTGAGAAAACTTACAAAGCCTCTGTTTTCTGTCTCCTTTCTTTAAGGCTTACCATTTTCGCAAGTTTGGCCATTTGCAGCCAGTGGAATCCTAACCTGGAGGAAGATAATCTAATAGCACCTGGAGATGAGACATTATTATCTAAGAGGATATGGAAACTGCAGCTCCTGTTTACTTTGAACCCGGCACCCCCCCTCTTTTCCCTTATTCTTCGCAAAGTTAAAACTCCTGGATCTGGTTGCAAGCGTTTAGTTTTGCAGTTTAGGGCTGGTTTCTTAGGGGCATTTACAGTACTTACCTCAGGTTAAGTACTTAATTTGTTCCAGTGAATTTCATGGCTGAGTTGGGTCTTGAACCTCGTCCTCCCAGGTGCTAGTCCAATACTCTAACCACTGCACCACACTGAATTTTCTCATAAGGGCATTGAAACAGATGACTTTTGAGCAGTGTGTCAAGAAGCAAATGAGTATGTTTCTGTGGCCTACAAGAAAAGGCTCTTTTCCCACCTATTAGAGATTTTTGTAATTAAGCCGTATATAAACTGTTGAAATAAATGAGTAAATAAAATCGTTTAAATAGCTTTTTTTCTGTTGTTTTGACTTGAAAATGAGTTTTTAAAACAGTAATGACATATATTTGTTTTTCAAAAGCTTTCTAGCATCTTTGTCCACATCACCAAAAAACACTGCAGCAACGTTATACACCAATGTTAAATATCTGAGAACTGAAAAGAAATGGAACATCATTTTTGCTTCTCGACGAAAAGTTTCCTAGTTTTTCCTGCCTTATATTAGCTGCAAAGGAAGAGACATGTTGGCTTAGAGAAAAGTCCATCCCTCTTTTTCATTCTCCAAAGTAAGGGGCTAGAAAGAATCTGGCAACAAAAACTCTGTCCCTAACATTCAGACGCACAAATGAATCCCTCAAATTAAATAGCAGACGAGGCTTCACTATTTAAAAGATTTCTCCGGGGTACGTAACTAGAGAGGAGCTAATTAGGGACAAAGCAGCAGTATTATTACGACTGATCATATCACTCTCGGTGTAATCTGGATTGATGTCTAAGAAGACCCAGGGAGGCTAGCCTTTTGTAGCAAAAGTTACTCCATATTGCTATCATGCTGATTCTCGGCAACACCTGAGCAAGCTTTTTCTTTGGGTAGAATTTCCCCACGAACCGCAGTTGGTATCCAAAAAGCTACATGTGGGTGTGTCCAGCTGAATGTTTTACTTCTGTTATTTGAATGCCAGATGGTGACACACAGGCTAAATGCATGACTGACAAGTGTCCAATTTGTAGGTGTTCCTTCATCTCTCTCCTCTAAATATACTGTGGGGCATAGCTGGATAACCTTTACAGCAAGGTTGAATTATATAGGACTGCCTTCAAAAAGCGTCCAAAAACTTCATCTGGTACAAAATGTGGTGCTTTAACCAGAAAGGACACTTTTTCTGGAGCACACAACTCCTCTTTTACATCAACATCATTGGCTTCTGAGCTCAGTTTGAAGTACCGTGGAAGGAATCTAGCTCAGTGGTGGAGCACCTGCTTTGCATGCAAAAGGTTCCAGGTTCAATCCCTGGCATCTCCAGGCAGGGCTGGGGGAGAAGCCCATCTGAACTCCTTGAGAGCTGCTGCCAGTCAGTGCAGACAATACTGAGCTAGATGGACCAAGAGTCTGACTCAGTATAAGACAGTTTCTCATTCTCCTTACCTTTAAAGCCCCCCAAACCTTGGGACCAAGATGTTTAAAGGACCAGCTTAGCAGCCTTGTAGCTGGCATTATTTGGAATTTTAAGAAACCAAACACTCAAGTGCTGTTTGGAAATCAGTGGTTAACCAGTGCAGTTTTGAAAGGTTGAGCCTGCCATCTTCATCTTCATCATCATCATTTTATTTGTATGCCGCCTTTCCATAGTTAAAACAATGCTCAAGGCGGCTTACAACATGACAAGATTTACATAACTACCAACGTAACAAAAGTCATAAGCAATAAGTAATTCAAATCAATAAATGATTCACGATAGCATTTGATTGTATCCAAACATAGGCAAAACTCTGCTCTTTGAAATCAAGGATCATGCAACATGTAGTTTCCGTATCCTAAGAGGTGTCCCAATGCATAGCAAACAAACACTTCCAAAATATATAGTTTATATAATAAATGATTTATAAACCACAGGATGAAAAAACTCTGGGATATCCAGCCTCATATAAGTCTAATTCATACAAGAAGGTGTTAATACCATAAAGTCAGCTGTCCTGCCATGCTTTGCTATGTCACATCCCCTCACCTTGGAAGAAAATAGGCCATCAAACCTATTGTTGTACCCAGTACACCTGAGATGCTGTGTGTGTGAAGAGGTTGAACTGGCTTCACCAGGTCAGCCACATGGCTCTCACTAGTCACTCTTGAGTTCCAATACCAATAATTTAGAAACTTTGTAACCACTTTGTAACTAAGCTAAGTTTTACTGCCTGTGCAATTTTTCTGACTTATGTATGAGAAAGCACATGAACCTGACCTTTGATGAGTTTGTAAATAAACCAATTTTAACTTGCCAAACGTGGTCTTTTCCCATGCTTGGGGAAGAGGAAAATTTTGGAACTCACTTGGAAGGACATATTTTAAAGGCCTTACAGCCTATATATCCATGCTTTGCTGTATATTTTGTGACTTTAAATCTCTGCTGGGGTTCTCTCACCAAAGAGTCCTTGCTCCAAACTCGTATCTTGGTATCCAGGAATTCTTATACAGCCTCAAGCAGACTGCTATTCTTCCTTCCACAACTGGCCTTGCCCTGCCAGCAAATCTTGGGGTGAACTATTTAGTGATTAACCCAGGGCATTCTGAAATGCTGGCCTGGACTAAGGAATGGATCTGTCACAAACATTACAGCCCTGCCCCATAAATCTGTATGATTCAGACTCCCTCCTTCATGGTGTTTCCACATTGGCTGAAGGCCTTTTTGTCTCAGCAGCCCTTTGAGCTGTCTGATGTTTGAATGCCTTACGCATGGTTCCCAGTATTTACTGGTTTTATCTGCTGCTTCTTTTGCTATTCCACATTTAGCTTTAAAGTGGATGGTTTTACATTTTTTGATGTTAGCTAATTTATGCTTCTGAGTGTGCAACTTTAAGAACTTTCTCGCCCTCTTCCCTTTGCATTCCCTTTTCCTTTTGTGTTCTTAGCCTGAGGGCAGGTATTACATTAGAAACAATTCTTGTAAGCTGCTCTGAGAGCCTTTTTGTCTACCGAGCAGGGTGGAAAAAGCTATAAATAAATAATAAATACAATAAACAAAATGTATTCATAAAATAATAAAAGTAAATAACTGGAAAGGCGAGACATAAATGTTCAGCTGTATCAATTACTTGATCTTGGATTTGTCGAAGAGGCACTTTGTGTCATTAAAATTAATCAGCAACTTCTAAGCATTGACAGACAAACATTTCCAAAAGGCGAACATTTGGAAAGGGTTCCAAATTAGAAAAGTCCGATTTGGATTTGGACATTATGTGGAATGTCAGATTTGTGTGGATTTTCATTTCAGTTCTACTGAAGGTGCAGATGGCATTGGATGTGTAAGCAAGCAGAAGCCTGCATCTTGCCAATCTTATGAAAGTGTGCCTTGATTTGATCTCCCTTCTTGAGTCATTACAGACTCTTGCGCCTTGTGTTTCTTTCAGTGAACAGCTACTTCCCAGTAGCTCACCAAAAGCGACATGCGTTGCCCTAACAGAGAGATCTAAATGAGATTGGAAAGATCGTCTTAATTAGCTTCAAAATCCTGCTAATTAGAGGCCTCGCTACATTAAAACACTGCTTCAGTGACCAGACCGGGTCACAGCTACAAATGAACCCTGATGAAGAAAAAAGTGCTTTGCTACGGCAAGCAGCTGGATCCAATCCACCTCCAGGGCTTTGTGAAGGGAAAGGATGTTTTAAGTTTGACTTCAGTGTCTCCTGAGGATAACTTGGGACTCCCCCTTGCCAGCACATGTGACATTAGGGCCCCCACAGCCTTTCAGCCTAAGGCCTTCAAGACAGGTTTCATTGCCACCACAACAAGTCATGTCCCCTTAAAGGGAACAGGAAAAGACAGATGTGCTGGAAAGCAAGACTTTGTGTGTGTGTGTAGAAGGCCTAGACTGGACAGATCAACTCATCCTTTTGACAGACAGAACATTCGTCTTAGGCTTCTGTCACTGTGGTAGGGCAGCGTTCCTGTTCCTTGCACTGTTTTCATCTTCATCTCATGGGTCTGTTCAGGGGACTGGGAGATGGGCATATATTTGTGGGAAAGTAGTAGAGCACAACAACAACATCAGTTCTGGTTTCTCTCAGTTTCTAATTTTTCCAGTCTTAAGTTCACCAAATTTCTGCATCATTCTGTCCTTTTTCTTTCCATGTTTAAAGGAAAGAAAAAAATTCACAAAAATTCATCAACATGTTAATGTGCATTTCTCCTCATAAATTCACTGTATATTTTTTATATACTACTGTATATAAGTTGTTTGTGAGTCCGTTTGCCAGTGCTCTTTTTGTAACAGTAGTCACCAGCATGGAATACCATCACCATTATTATTTTTTAAACCACTCATGGCAGCTGTTTTGTGCTGGCAACCCTGGTATTTTTACCATGGTATGCATGCCAGCACATCATGTTTTAACAACAACAGCAATCCCAACCCCAACCTATTACTGTTTGGTGTGCATTTGGACACCTCTATTGGAGATAACTAGACAAAATTTTGAATCAAGACAGCCAAGTGAGCCTTTCAAAACTACACTGATTTCTTAGATTTTCCCACCAATGCCAGGCACAAGTCTAAAAAGTTAAAAAGTTAAGCAGCTTAAAATCCTTATGAAACAACCGGTAAGATGTAGCTAAAAATTATTTGTACCGGGGCCTAAAGTATGATGCTAAAAGGTCTTTAGCAGCTGAATAGATGTTAATATGGGTGTCAGGTAAGCCTGACTAGAAAAGGCATTCCAAAAACAGCAAGCCACCAGAAAAAGTCCTTCTCCTTTAGTAACTGGCTACCTCATCTGTTTAGACTGAACAAGCATTCAGGGGGAGTCTGAGGAGAGTTCCAAGGGCCACACAGAGAAGCCTGGAGGGCCACATTTTGGCCCTGAGTCTCTACCCTAGCTCCTGGGCGATAACATGGAATCATGGGGTGCCCCAGCAGGTCCCTTGGAAAGGCAGTTGGGACGAGCATGCTGGGATTTGCAATCTCCAGCTGAGGGGGATGGAGTTGGGTAGAAGAAAAGTGACTGAAGTTACAAAAACATGTGAACTGTACTAGGTATACATCTTTTTTTAAACCATGGCCATCTCCCACCCTAAAAGGGCACTTCATAGTTTGGTTTATCCAAATGCACCTCCATAGGAACATATTTTGCTGCATCCCATTTGTCCATCTGGCCCAGTAATGTCTGTTCTGACTGGCAGCTGCTCTCCAGGACCCAGGCAAAGCGAGGCTGTCCCCACAGTCAGGGGCTGCCAACCCTTTTGGGCCAGTCAGCCTTTTTGGTCTGCAAATAAAAACATCCTGAAGATCCCAGGCCACAGAGAGGTTAGGCTGGCCTCAAATAGAGCCAGGGCTTTCTCGGCTGTGGCTCCAATCTGGTGGAACGCTCTGTCACAAGAGACTAGGGCCCTGCAGGACCTGACATCTTTCCGCAGGGCCTGCAAGACAGAGCTGTTCCACCAGGCCTTTGATCAGGGCACAGCCTGACCCCCTCCTCTGGCAATCTGCACAGAATGTTGCTTAATGGTTGCCATTAATTTGATTTTAATTATTTTTATAATGAATGTTTTTAGAATGCTGGATTACTTTGATTGTTGTTAGCCGCCCTGAGCCCAGCTTTGGCAGGGGAGGGCGGGATATAAATAAAAATTTTATTATTATTATTATTATTATTATTATTATTATTATTATTATTATTGGAATGTTGAGAAAGTACCGGGGGCACCGGTCACAAAATGGCTGCCGGGAGGTGCATGGCATAAAGCAAATCAGCCACCATACAGCGTGGTTTAATAGCTGCCACATCTCAACTGTAAAACTGTTAAATGGTGTGGACATGGTCTCCTGCCCACTCTGCCCAATGTACATTGGCCACTGCTGGTATGGGAGAAGCCAAGCCAGTGCAAACAGGAAGTGAGCAAGAACAGCAAACACTCTCTGATGCATTGTGGGTTTTTTAGAGGATAGCTCCCAAGAGCTTTCCTAGGTGCCATAAGAGACACTGGCAGGTGCACTGGTGCCCACAGGCACCACATTGGCAACCCCTGTGTTACCTGATCATTTTTACTGGGGTTGAACCTGCAACCTTCTGCAGGCAAGCCATGAACTCTACCCCTGATTGGTGGTCCTGTTCCCCCCCTTGTTAGACGGGTGCAAAGGATGCAAAAAGATTCCAATCGCTCCCCCTAAAAAAACCCCAAGCAAATCTATTCTCTTCCTCTTTGAGGTCTTGCTAGGATTGCCCCAGTTCTGCAAAACACGAGATTCACATTGGATCAGAAAGGTGTATAAATGTGGGGCTGCTTTCCGGAGCACTGAGGCTCGCCCTATTGCAGGCTGACAGAATGAACTTCAGTTGACGCCCCCGGCTGTTCCTTTCCAGTTCAGCTGTTCCATTTCAGGCTGCAGAGCCAGTGGAAGGAAGCTAAAAGATCGCTTCACTGACCAGCCAGTACATTAACTGCCCTGTTGCCCTGATCAGATGCGGTTTTACAGACAATGGCCACCGGCTGTTTAGGCAATGTATAAATTAACATAGGCTACACATACTAGGAACATATTTAAATGAGAGGCGAAGGACCCTTTATTTGTCAATCACTTCGCGCTCCGCTCACATTTGCTTATTTCTTCAGAAGCATTTTTTTTGGGGGGGGGGTCATTAATACCTCCTGCTGTTTGCCACCACAGAATGAGGAAGGGGAAGACAGGAGGTGTAACTTAAATGATCCAGCATTCATTTTGCCCCTGCCCCTCTCCGTTTTAATTAATATAATAATAAACAGATCCCTTGGAATTTGCTTCTCCCTCTCGCTCAATCTCATAGTCGGCTCTGTAACTTATGACCTTCAAGTCAAAACACCTTTATTCCTGCTCCCTCTGTAATAGGCCTGGCACAGAGGGATCCAGAATCTCAACTCTCACATGAGCAGCTTGGAAAACAGGAATCCTATGCAATAGTTTTCCTAAAAGCTCAAAGGGGTTACCCACCTCCGTCATTTTTTACAACAGCGCTGTAAGGTAGGCTGTCATAGCACAGTGGCTAAACTGGAGCTGCAACCCCGCCCCCGGTTCAAACATCTCCCCTTCCATGCAACATTTTGCTGTTGGGAGTTTTGCACTTTAAAATGTGTCTGTTTTAGAAGCCCTTTTGTATTTGGGTTGTTGGTGTCAAATTCTGCAAGCTACCTCAAGTATTTTGCAAAGAAAGGCAAGTCCAATAAAACAGAGAAAAGTCACTGAACATGTGTCCCTCAGTGGCAGTCTACATTGGTACAGTCCAGCAAGACCTGCAGTAGTCAAGCTCTGTCAACAAACTAGGGTCCTCCTGGAGCATACCACTTTAGAACTGAGGGAACCAGTGAGCAAATGACAGAGAGCTAGAGAAGAGCACTGCAGTTTAGGAGGCTGCCTAAGTCCAGAATTGATCTGCATCCAAAGTAAACAAATAAGCACTAATTTATATCCCACGCTTTTGCAGTTGCATTTCTCTTTGGTACTTTCACTTATACATCCATTTTTATGCACATTTCCCCTTAATATATTCATTTTTGTAAACATTTAGTTGGAGAACTGCACCGCAACATTTGTAAATATGTGTGAATTTTGAAGGATGGCCGTTTCATTTCTCATACAATTTGAGATGTTGTTGTTGTTGTTGTTGTTGAAAATGTCAGTTTGCTAGATTCAGCTTTAAATGTGAACTGAAACAAATTTCACTCCCATTCCTACTGGCAACACAGCAACATCTGCAGCAGGTGCTTAAGCAGAGGTTAGGCAGAGACCTGTCAGGGACGCTGCAGATTAGAAGACCACCAAGTCCCATTCCAAAACTAAAAATCGTAAGATTCTGTGGTGTGAGGTGGATTTGATCCCACATGATTTTGTGTCTCATGATTCTAATGCTCATGTAGTTTGGCTCTCAGCAGGAGCAGCGAGTGTGGTGGGGAAGAGCAGTGAAGCCACTGCTGTCGCAGTCTACCTGGATGTGGATGGATCGGGCAGAGCAGTGATGACATCAGGCCTGCACAGGTGTGACGGCAGAGGCAGCCAGGCACTCCCACTGCTGCATTTGAGCATCCCTGACCTCACCACGACCCCATACCTTCCAGGTAAGCTGCAGTGACAACGGTGTCCAGGGGATGTCTCTGCATCTCTGCCCTGCCACACTGGATGCTACTAGCTCTCACTTCTCCTCAGTGCAATGGGCACAGAGGGGCCTTTGGTAGCTGATACTTTTGAAGCCCCAGTAACAGAAATCTAGGGCTACAAATTTCTGCCATCTGTAGAAATCAAACAATGTTTTCCTTGGAAGCACTCAGAAGTGGGGGAAGCACCAAGTTAATGGGACTTATATGTCTTAGTTTTTTTATTTAAAAATGTTTCTAAAGCAAGAGTGGCAGATGCAGGACGAAGCAAGAATTGAAGGGGGAAGCCCTGGGAACAGAACAAGATGAGAGTTCCTGCAAGGATGCTTGGTGCCAGACAGCTTGTTTCCAGAAATTTGTTTGTTGTTGTTCTGCTGCTGCTGCTGCTGCTGTTAACATTTGATACCATCATTTTTCTTCATGTCATATTCTTTGAGCACCAAACACTATATTCCTCTATCTGTCTACCCAAGATTTTGAACATTATATTTAATTGCAAAATGACTTGAGCCAGAAAGAACTGAAATAAAACTTTGCACGTCTATTCAGCATCTGATTGTTGCTGCTGCTGTTGTCGTTTGCTCTGAAATTCAACTCGGTGAGTGTCAGGGTTGGGTCACTAACAGCAGACTGAGGTAAGCAAGAAGTTGGGAACCAGGAGCTTGTTGGGGAAGCCAGCATTCTAGGACGAAGGATCAGTCAGGACCGAAGGGCAATCCAGACGGCAGGATGAATGGGGATGATGAAAGTCAGGACCAAAGATTATGTCGGAACCAAAGGCTTTTGCCCCGGGGGAGGTCACTTTGGTGCTGCTATTGCAGCAGTTTGACTTCATCCCTGGAAGTGCACTCCATTGTCTCTCAAGACAGACAGGTTCCAACAACTTGGGCTGCATAGAACTGCATTTCAAAATTAAGAGAAGTATGTTTTGGTTCACATATTTTTTCGGAACATGCAAGTTAGGTAAGTTTGCCTTTAAATGCCAACTGAATAGACTGGTAATTTCTCTCCCATCCCTACTTCCTATCCAGGAAGATTCAGTGGCCAGTCAATCCAGTGCTGGAAGGTTCTTCTCTAAGATGTTCAGTGGTTCACCATATAGGGTAGTTGTTCCTGGCAGCCAGGGACACTTTTGGAAACTATGACACCATAATCCCTTCCCGCATATGAAAAAACCTCCAACTCCCAACTTAGTGGGCTGCTGCTGTGCCCATTGCAACATGACATGTTCAACCATCATGGATAATAATTGCAACCAATTTCCCTAACATAACGCATTTCATATGCTATTTTCAATAATATATGCATTTTTAGGCACACTTTATCCCAGCACATGCATTTTTGTACATATTACATAGCTGGAGAACTGCATAACAAAATTCAGAAAAGTGTGAATTTCTAAGGATTGCTGCGTTTTGGTTTGCATATTGCTTTGGAAAGTGTGAATTAGGCAAGTATGCCTTTAAATGAGAAATGAACCCATTTTTTCTCCCCCACCCCAATTCCTACTGGAAACCCAAATCCAGGAGCAGAAACCTGTCTCTGTGTCTTCATAGCTTAACTCTCCACCCATGCTTTTGGGTCCTGCTTGCTTCCGCAGCGCTGCAGACTGGAGCAGTCAGAAGTACAGGAGCAGAAAAGCCCCTCAGGCAACCTGTGTTCAGTGAGCCTCTCATCGCGAAGAGGTGATTAATGCCCTTCTGCTCATGTGCCTTGCCGTTCTTTTCTCCTCCTTGAGTGCCTTCCTCCATTCCCCTCTGCAAAGTTGGTGCTGCAGGTTTCCTGCAGGTGGGGAGACTCTGGACAGAACTGATTCTTAAAAATAAAAATAAAAATCAGAGGAGAATGAAGTAAGCAAGAAAAAAGAACGAGTGCCATTACAGTAGAAGGCCAGAGGGCATGTCCCACAGATCCACTTATCCCTTAGTTTGCAGAAAACAAAGTTGTGGAGGATCATATGAAAAGCCAGGCTAGATCAGGCCGAAAGCCTATCTAGACCAGCATCGTTTCTCACAGAGGCCAACCAAATGTTTCTGGGAAGCTCACAAGCAGAATGTAAGCACAACAGCACTCTCACACTCTTGTACCCCGGCAACTGGTATTCAGAAGCATGTTGCACAACTGAAGGGGTGGTGGTGGTGGAATGCAGCCTCTCCAGACCCTTCAGGGTGCAGGAAAGTAGCAGCAACCCCAAATGGCACACACTGTTTGATGAAACTGCAACTGGGCGGCAAGGCTGGAGGGAAACAGGACAAGAGGCTTTTCCCATAGGCATTTTTAGTCCACATTTTCAGTTGAGAGGGAAACTTCAAAACCAGCCCCTTGCACAGCGTGAGCTAAACAAACTTGGAAGGTTTACAAAGGAGCAGCAGTTTATAAGGTGTTTTTAATTTGTGTTTTATATATGAAGGGACTTCCTTAGCAAGGCTTTTTATGAGAGGCCTCTCTTGCCCTAAGATGTCGGCTAGAAACCCTGTTGTGCATGCTTTGGCTCTAGGTCCTTAACAAACTAACCAGTGTTTATTATCTAAACAATAATAGTAAAAGCAGAGGGAATTGGTGGGAGGGGGCTCAGGGCAAATTGTCAAATGGCTGGAAGCCTGCTCAAGTGTATATCAATTGCCTTCTCCTGGGTTGTTGTAAATGCTTTGAGTCCTGTTCCCCCCCTCCCCAAAAAGTCTGCTGACAGCATCCTAAGCATTTTATTCCAAAAGATCCCAGTTGATGAGGATATGGACCTTATGTTATGGCGTGCTGGTGAGGTGTCTGTCTTTGGCCACAAGAAATAGATGTAAGAGGGCAAACTTTGTAGTTGTTCTTTGTTTTTCCCATTCCACCCATCCCCTTAAACATAATTTAGTAAGCCTGGATTGAACTGGTATACAAAGTACACGATAGAAGAAAGCTGGAACTAGTTGTTGCAGAGCAGTTGCTAAAAGGAACAGCTAGCATTTGCTTCTTCCTCATAATATCTGGTCGTATGAAAAGTGTGACATGCCTGACATCACATTTCCTAATGTGGGGAGAACATCTCATCTGAAGCATGGTGATGGCTCATTGCATTTTGTAGGACTAGGTATCACTGGGCTGAAGGGGAGAGGGCAGTAGCAGCCAGTCCAATGCTCCCAGTGCTGTGCCTGCACTGCATCGACCTACTCACTGCCTCACCCTTCCCCACCCCCCCACCTCTCACAGTTGCCATCAAGGACTTCCAAATCAGTAAGAAAATACTCCCCCTGCTACTTTGCCAGCTGCTACTGGGAGAGGGAGAGGCGGGACTACTCCTTTTAGCAGAAGTTCCATATTATTTACAACCCCTCATTCCAGGCCATGGTTCTGGATAATTTGAGGACTTAGCTGGGTCATAGTTGCCTGGGAGCTCCTGAGACCCAGCTCTCAGAGCTCCCTGGTGATAATGTTCTTGAGCCTGGGTCATCGTCCCAAGAGGCCTCATGTATTCAGAGAAGGAACTTCCTGTAGACTTCAGGGATGGGGAACCTGTAGCCTCCTAGATGTTGTTGGGACTTCCAGCTCCCATCAGCCGCAGCCAGAATGGCCGGTGGTCCAGGATGTTGTAGTGCAACAACATCTGGAGGGCCACAGGTTCCCTGTCCCCTGTGTTACTGAATCCTCTTAACTGAAGATGCCAGGGGCTGATCAAGATATCTTCTGCAAACATGAAGCATCTGCTCAGCTGCAGACCTAATGTCCTTCCTCTGGAATTAGCCATGGAGGCCAGGGGACCTAAAACGAAAGAGCCATTTTAATTCCCCTCTTCAACCTGCCTCCACCTGACCAGTTTTTCCACACTTTATTTAAAGTTTACAAATGTGCTGAAGAGGAGAGAGCAAGTGGCACATCCCCTTTGTGGAATGGTGTTTAAAATAAAATAAAAAAAATTTTAAATCCCCGTTAAGTTCCTGTACATGCTGACAGTTTTACAATTTACATGACAGCTGGCTTGCTTGGAGGAGGGCTCCGTTAATTAAAATAACACAAAGAGGGAGAGAAGCGAAATCGTGTCAGCGGATAATTAATTCGGAGCAGGGCAACCGGGCCGTGTGCTGTTCCTGCGAACAAAACTCGGCAGGAAGTCACAGCATTGCAGGGCACAGAGATGTTTACACCTCCTGGAACCGCCCTGGCCTCGGGCGTCTGCATCGTGGCACACTATGCAGTGTTGCCAGAATGCACAGCGAGGTGTTTTCTATGCACGCCTTTCTACGTTGGACGCTGAGCAGGAGGGCCTGATACCTTTGGTTGCTGTCGATATTCAAGTGTACCCTTGGCCGGTCTCCCTTCTCGTGTTGCATCCTTCATTCAGAAATAGATTAGAGATGACCAAGTGCTTCATTTGCAGGGCCCACTATATTTTAAGAATATAAGAAGAGGCCTGCTGGGTCAGGCCAAAGGCCCATCTCTTTCAGCACCCTGTTCTCATGGTAGCCAGATAGATGCCCCTATGGGAAACCTGCAAGCAGAGCGTGAATCAACAGCCTCTCTCCTCACTCTTGCCTTCCTTTACACAAGAACCTCACTGGAACAGACCAACGTAACCTATCTTGGCCGGAATCTTGGTCTCCACATTGACCAGCTATGGATGCTTAAGAACATAACAACAGCCTGGTGGATCAGGCCAAGGTCCCATCTAGTTCAGCATCCTCTTCTCACAGCGGCCAACCATACGCCTGTGGGAAAGCGAGACATGACTGCAACAGCTCTCTTCCCCAGGTGCGATGTCCAGCAACTGGTATTTAGAGGCATACTTCCTCCAACAGTGGAGGTACAACACAGCTATCGTGGTTAGATAGCCTTATCCTCCATGAATTTTCCTAATTTTCTTTTAAAGCCTTTCAGGTTAGTCACCTCTTGTGGGGGGTGGGAATTCTACAGTTTTAACTACTTTCCAGATAGTGGTCTAGAGGTTGGGTGTGCATTTTGCCACATTGTCCAATCCATTCATTGACTACCTCCAGAATCAGAGTCGATGTGCTGAAGAACATGAGCAGCAGAGTCTTGCTTGCAATGTGTCTTGCTTGCAAGGCTTCTGGCAGGCATCTGTTTGGCCACTGTGAGAACACGATGCTGCACTAGATGAGCTTTGCTTTGATCCAGAACGGTTCTTCTAAGGTTTAGGTATTTATTTTAAGAAATTAGTAGACTTACATCAAAAGGTCACAACACAGTAAATAATAAACAACATTATGTAAATATGTAACATAATATCAGTAAAATAATAAAAAAACTACACCATTTATATAAATACATTTCATCATAATCAACAATACATAATAGTACATGTTACATGGTAAGCAATGCATAGCCAATCCAGCAATAAAGAAACCAATGATATATGAAGTCCTACTCAGAGTAGACCCATTAAAATGAATGAACCTAACTCGGTCAAGTTCAGTAACATCAATGGTCTTCTCCTGAGTAGGA